ACAGGTTTTGCTGCTATGTCCCATGCAGGCGACCCAAGAGACAAGTGCCACAGCTTTAAGATCGAGCGGTAAGAATGACCATTTTCTTTGATACGTGAAAGGGGAAACCGCGCTGACTGGAAGCCTGGCCACATCACGCGCTCACGTTTATATTTACTGGGACTAGAGTCATCGCCCTGCTTCATCTTTAAACATTTTACAGTAAATACAGAGTGTATCAAATTTCGTAAACAATATCCGAGGTGAATAGTTTTAATGTCATTCAACATAACGACGTAATTGTTACATTAATACATGCAGACATAGATTTTGATTGTAGTGAATGTATATTGTTTCAGGAAAAACTCCATTGTCAAATATAATGCCAAGTTCCCAAGATAGTGCGAGATTCGTACACGAATGTTGTACAATCGTTCAAGCATAAAGGCGTTTCCAGAGTGAAATGAAGAGACGAGTAACAGAACAGCGCACCATGCCAAGAACAGAGGCCCAGATCAAGGCTCTAGGATCAGCTGCATTGGCCAAGAACGTTTAATTAAAGTGGAAACGTTGTCATGAAGCCTTTACAAACGTTGCAATAATGTAAATCGGTAGAACTTCATCTGAACTAAGCATTCCGAAAAGTTCTGTTCATGAAACAATTCCCGACGACAGGAATTAGTCTTGTGTTTATACTCACCGAGGTACGCCTAGGCCAACTTTGTTCCTTTCCCATTATACAACGCACAATTGTTGCTTAACTCACAGGTTCCTATTTACTGCAAGGTGAAGAGAGTCACTGAGAGAAAGGAAACGTACCTAATCGACTTAGTCCTGCTCGGGGATTGAACCCGGGTCCCTCGGTTTTGATCCGAAATCGTAGCCCATTATGCCACAGGGCCTTTTATATACTCTATTATATAAGTTGAAGAATGAACGTTTTCAGATGATTTACTTAATGGATGGAATCGCGCGAATTTGTTTTCTAATCCAACATAATTTTGAATGATGCGGCAACATAGCGCCCACAGCTTGCAAAGTGAAGTGTTCACCGCAATCCGCGTCTGATGCTACACGAACGTCAACATAATTGCTCCGAAAAACAGAGAAACATCGCATCATGTTGCAGGGATCCATCCTTGTTGCCGCGTCCAGTGCTCACAGCTGTGGTGTTGGCTGAGTGAGGGAGTAGTCTCAGTAGTTCAGTAGTGAACCAGTAAGTTCAGTACAAAACTTCTGGTTGCAATTCTTTTAACCATGTCGTAGCTCAGTCGATTAAGGCAAGTCTAGGCTGCTCTCGGGCGTAGGTTCGAACCCTCCTCACGGCCCTTGTGGATTTGTTCAGGAGTACTCTCACCTGACCAGCTCCCTCCCGTACTGTCAAGCCGGCGACCAGTAGTCACCCCAAGCGTCAATATTATGGGGGGTTTTGGGTTTCACTAACACTTTCGGGCTATTCATGCCCGTGCCACCTCTTGGGTGGCTTAATCTTCATCAATCAATTCACTAACGCATCGTAATATGAAGCTGCGGTTGATAACGCGTAAACTGTACTAAGAGAGATATGTGTTTCTAACCAGATTAGAACTTGCAAGCCAGTTCTCTCGATTTCCCACTCAGTAGAAAATACAACTATTTGTATTTTTGTTCTACTATTTTCTACAAAATAGTAGAAAATACAACTGTTTTGGCTTACCGGGATCGTACCCACACAAGCCATTCACGTTACCTAACGAGGCCAATGCTTAGAAAGCGTCGGTATTTAAGAGCTTTAATTTTGTTTCTAACACGTCGCATTTTTAACGGATTGCTCGAATCCTTAAAAAAAATGTGACGTATAAAGAGGACGGGCTGCTATTGTATTATTGTATTCCTAAGTAAAATCAAGGAATATATATATTGTATATTTGACGCGCTCATCCTTCCCAACAGCTGTTTTGAACTTTGAATTTTCAATTGAACGTCGAATTAAATTGACATATTATATATATATATATATATATATATATATATATATATATATATATATATATATATATATATATATATATATATATATATATATATATTTATATTGAATGAATGACGGACGACTTCTTAGAAGCAAAATTATACTCAGAAATTATTTTACAAATTCATAAAAAATTTTAATCTAAAACCAATCGGCTCAATACTTGTTTTAATAACAAATGAGTCAGTACTCCGATTAACAATTCAACTATTAAATGCTCTTTTTGGAATGTTAACTTTTGGATGACCTATAGATGATTATTTACCTAATATAAAAATATTCGCATCGTCTTAAACCGTATATTACGTTCAGAACAGACGATGTGGTTAAGACAGTGTCTATACACTGTAAACAGTGATGTGACAGGGCCTATGACAGGTTACAGTGACGTCACAGTGCTTATGATAAGTTACAGTTCACACAGAAATCGCAATAACGTGATACAAATCCACAAGGGCTTTGATCAGGGTTCGAACCTATGCGCTGAGGGCTACCAGACTGTCAACTGTACCACTCCAGGTTGCAATTCTTTGACCGTGTGGTGGTACAGTCGACTAGAGCGCGTCTGGGAACACTCATCGCCTAGGTTCGAACCCGCATTAAGGCTCCTGTGGATGTGTTCTAAGTTACAATGATGAGATAGCTCCTATTACAAGTTGGTAAAAGACGACTGGAGCACAACTCCATAGTCTTTCTTGAGACTAATGGCTGACTACTATTATTAGACGCTACAGAAGAAAAACAGGTGTGGGAGAAGCAGGGTCTGATGTCAGCGGTACAGGTGCTGACATTATCTGACGTTGTCCGCTCATAATTACCAAGTGACTGACAGGCGTCAACTTGGGTAGAGCGTGTGAGAGGGCGCCAAGGTAGCAATGTTCGGTTGACGGCTTGACGGATCAGCCTTCGTTATGATACGTCAGCCATTCTCCCACACACACATAATTAATGAAGCTGCAGAAGGTGTTTTTTCCGCCTATACGAAGCAAAATTTATATTTATATCCATCCCAACTCATTCATCTATATGGCCATCCCAGACTTGAAACAATCCATCAATCCTACGTCTATTATGTTACCCGGTAAATGTTCCATAAATCAACAATCCCTGCTTTCAAACGAATATTTATCCAGGTCTTACCCGAATCTAAACTTATCCAATTTATATCCATTGTTCTGCGCTCCATTTGGTGTTGAAGTACTTCAAACTTTATGTCGTCCACACTAGTTTGACGGATGGTTTGACCCCGTACCGCCTGGGCTCAATATGACTCGTCTGGCAAGACAAATCTACCTGCCCCTTCCCCCTTCCCTTCGTTCTGCGCGTCTTGCAATAGGTCAACACCTCTTCTGCCTTCGGGATATCGATATACCTGACCAAGAAACCCATCCTCAGATTTTTGTGTTCGTCCAAAGCTGCGATCTAGCACCAAAAACATGTTTGTCGTTTGTAACGTATTATGTAACCCACTACTAAGTTTTCTCGAATATGATGTGATGTATTTTAAAATGTTGTTAATAATCTTAGGATAGGTTAGGCGTTTTGGTTCTGTTAGCAGTTATTCGTACATAGATACTTGGAAAAAAAAAATATTTTTAGATAGATGCGATTCATGGACAGAAAGAGAACCAAGCATTATCCAAGGAACAAGTTTGATGTCTTCAGTTGTGAGTCTTGTGTTCAGTGTCTTCATACATTAATAAGAGTCTGGCAGGTAGATTAACTTCCATTTGGTCATTGTTTATGAGGAGGGGGGTAGATCAGGGGAACCTAATCCGACCTATACGATGGGTTTGTGTTGACTACCTACAAACTCAACTCGCCCTCATAAACAAACGCCAAATGCTTGATAACCCAGTTACGAAACCTACTTTTTAAGAATAACAAATATTTTACACTCGGCTAATGACGTTCGAACTGTTTCAAACATTGCTTCACTCTAGCAATGTTTTAAAATGCTCTTCTATAAATGCTTCATATTTGCTTTGTTCAGCCGCTCCATCATTAATACAGCCGGTCCTCATCAACAAAGCCCCAATGCTGGTTAATCCAGCCATTAAATTCGCAGTTTATGAATGAGAACGGTTTACACACGACCCACAACTGACAATGTTCGAACATTTATCGAAGAATGCTTCGCTCGCGACCTCTTTCCGAATCGCAACATAGTACATGCTTCATCCACATATTACATATGCGAATAATAGCCCGTCCTCACTAACAAAAACCCAAAAGTGATTCCATGCAACCGCCAAACCCCCCTGTTTATGAATGAAAAACGGTTTACACACGACTCACAACGGATGAGTTCGAACACTTCCGGAACAAGTGCTTCACTGACGAATTTTGTTCGAACCACAACGCTGTAAATGCTTCACCCACGTACTAGAAATACAAGTAATCGCCAACAGAACCTAAACACCTAACCTAACCTATGCCTATATATGCATAATATGCTAATATTTTATAATATTCATTTATATTTGAGAAAATTCCCGTTTTGAATGAACAGCATGTTAAGATTTATGAAGGCGTCTGTGGGGTCGACCGCTGGATGGAATGAACTCGAGTCGAGGACGGGTTGACAAATAATCGCCAACAGAACCTAAATACCTACCCTAATTTTCGCCTACTAATACATAGAACTTTAGTGAGTAACAATATTAACTAAAATATAAAAACACACAAATATAAGAACACACGCAGTTCATTAAAATTGATGAATGCGGCACGCGGCCACTGCCTTAACGAGCCTGGGCTGAGGACAGAGTGAATAATTGCCAAGAAGAACCTATCCACTTAACCTAAGTTAGGCTTAGCTATTCAACACATTCTAGTATCTAATAACATTAAGTTGTATTTGAGAAAAACAATTGTGAATTCGTAGTTCGCTAAAATTCATGAATGTGTCTATGGGATCGACCGCCGATTGGACGAGCCTAGCCTGAGGACAGGTTGACATATGAGATTTCTCTTCGCCTTCAAATAAATAAAACTTAGCAATACTCACATTTCTTATGCTTGGGGATCTCAGGGAGTTTCCGCCGTTTCCGCTCGTTGGGCCTCGGGTCCCAGGGCATGCAGGCCCTCGCTGCGTCCTCCAGGTCACAGTCAGGTGGTGACATGCTTTCTATCAGCTCCTCTAGGTCTCCGGAGAAGAACTCGCTGGCATCGCCGGTGTCGCTGCTGTCGACGCTCTCCACGCTGGAGGGCCCCGAGGACACGGTGGTGGGCCGCGGCCTCCGAGGGGCGGGACTACCGCATATAGGACTCGGGCAGGAGGCCGGCTGGACCCCGGCACTAAGACACGGCCCCGCCGCCCCATTCGAAGCCAACATCTGAGCACTTTTGCAGGCCGCCGCCGCTCTCAGCTCCTGCGTCTGTTCCACCATGAGCTGAGGGCAACAGGGGTCGTCGTCGGAGCAGCACTTGCCTGACGACGACGACGTGGAAGTGGTCCGCAAGCGGCAGGTGGAAAGGCTGCGCTGGCTGTTAAGGTCATCACTCACCTCCTCCAGGCTGGGTGGGTCAGGCGGGTCCGGGGCTTCCTCTACTGACGGGGACTCCAACGAGATATCATGCGCCAACCTGCATGTAGGAAAGCAGTAAAAAAAATAAATTAATGGTTATTTTTCACAGGTTAAAAAAATATACAATTAGGAAATGAAACTAAAATATGTATACATAAAATAATTGCTTGTATAAATGTATACTGACAACATATATACACGTGTAGATAAGAGACTCTTATATGAAAACATTTTATTTTGAAAATAACGAAATAAACAGCCTAAGTAATACTCAAGGAACCTAAATTTGAATTCAGAATTACAGAAACCGGAAGGTTGAATAGGATCAAAAACACCAGCTGAGAGTAGACTTAATTAGCGGAAAAGAACTATCAGGAAAAATTGCAAAGCCATTACGATTATATAGCATCTGGAAGGGATCAGGATAAGGATTTGGGATGGGACGGGGGGAAGGAATGGTGCCCAACAACTTGGACGGTCGGGGATTGAACGCCGACCTGCTTGAAGCGAGACCGTCGCTCTACTGTCCAGCCCAAGTGGTTGGGCACCATTGTTTTCCTCCGTTCTATCCCAAATTCTTATCCTGATCGGCTCAGGATATATAATCGTAATTTGCGAGAAACATAACTAAGATAATGCTTACGATTACCAATGTGTCTTAATTAAAACCTAAAGAAAAAAACTGATGTTTTTAGTTTATTTTTCAATACACATTAATTGTTTCAAAATAATGCATAGGTGGAAGGAAGGAGGACTGAGACAAAGGGATGTGCATGGGGGAGAGGGAATAGAAGGGAGATTCAAAATTAAATCCTAAGAACACGAAGAAAATAATGAGATCGAAACAGGACCGAAGTTGCATCCCTGAACTTCCCAGTGTGACCGGGGGATTCCAGAGCCGAGAGTTCGATCCCGTTACATGGCCTCAACAGCTTCACAGATGGGAGATGAAATATTGGTAATGATAGAGTTACCATATCAACCTGTCCTCCTAATAGAACGTCGTATTTTGACGTACACTCTACCTAAGGCCAAAAAAACTTTCGTACTAGAAGCGGATTGACAATTGATACACTGTTCCGTTTTCTGCTTTGGGTCCTCTGGTAGGTTAGGATAAGGGCACATTAGTACGACAGTTTCTTGACGTTGGAAAATCTTATAGGAGGACGGGCTGACTATATACAATGCAGCCACGTGAAGGAGCCATTTGTGCCCATTCCAGAGAGAGAGCAATGATCTAGTAGGACCAGGAGAACTAAGTCTGGAGAAGCATATGTAAACAATGAATGACCTTCAGTATAGAAAACGAAAAGAAGATGATGAAGCGAAAAGAATGTACAGGTGAGTGAGAGAGAGCGAAAAGAAATTGGCGGAGAGAGGTTGGTTGTGGAGGTCAATACGAGAGGGCGAGGCAGTCAGCTGTGCTGCTCTCCCTCCCTCTCCCCTCCTCTCTCTCTCTCTCACAGACACACACTCTCTTCCCTCTCTCCCTCCCTCCTCACACACACACAACTCTCCCCTTAACACACTCACCACTCTTGCCCTTAACACACTCACCACTCTCCCCCTTAACACACTGCTCTCTAAACAATCAAATGTATGGGATATAAAAGGTGTGTGTGAGAGAGAGAGAGAGAGAGAGAGAGAGAGAGAGAGAGAGAGAGAGAGAGAGAGAGAGAGAGAGAGAGAGAGAGAGAGAGAGAGAGAGAATACTCGTCCTGTTTTCTGGCTGTTGGATTTATAAACCAAAAAGAGTCATACACAACATACCAAAACAGTGTCTGGAAGTGTTGAAAGTTGAGAATAGGTTTAGAGACACACCCCCTCCCTGGACCGTTGGGCAAATACCGCCGAAAGGTATTAGTGTGGCAATGAATAGATTTTGGAAAGGTTTAATCCTACGCTGATCCTGGGGGTGATCCTACTGTGATACTAGGTTAATTCTACGTTTTTCATACTGAGATCATAAGTTGATCATATTGCGATGCTATGTTGATCTTACTGTGATAATACATTGATCGTACTTTGATTAATAGCTACTCGGGCATGTTCGTCCTGGGAGGGGGATGGAGGGAGGGGGTATGTGTAGGTACACATTAACAGCTGATAAGTAAATATAACTATGACCCACGACTCTCACACTCTAAGAGAATATTTACAGTAATAGGTAGAGAGGTCAGGAAGGTGAAGGGTGTGAGGTGAGGTAGAGAGGTAAGGCAGGTGAAAGGTGAGAGATGAGGTAGAGAGGTCAGGAGGGGTATCATTACCGAACAATGAGGTCAGGCCACATGCTGCACAGGTCAGCGAAGAACTGGGGTCCAAGTGCCTCCTCCTCCACTGATGGCCGGGCGCTCCCTCTACCAGAGTCAGGGCTCTCAGGGCTCTCACACGTCAGCTCTAGCCCCTGAGAGGAAGGAGGAGCCTCCTTCAGGAAGGAGTTCTTCAAGGGAGCATACTTCAAGGGCGTGAAGTTAACTGGGGAGCACTTGGGAGAGGGACCATTGTGATGGAAAGTGCCTGACCGCTGCAGTTTTTCATCCTTGTTGACACGAGGGGCAGGTATGCTGACCGCCTTGCGATATAAACTCTTTAAAGAAGGATCCCTCGAGTATGCAAGCCTGAGGGGAAAGTTGTTATAGTAAGTGTCCTTCAAGAGAGTACTATTGGACGAGGATCTCCTGTGTATCTCCCTCAAGTGCTGCAACACATCAGGAAACCTGCCGACGCTCTCGGGGACCTGACAGCTGGCCAGGATGCCTCTGCTCTTACGTCTGTCTCTCTCGCAGCCTAACGGCAGGAGCTCAAACAACTTCTGGCGGGGAAGATGTTCACTGGAGTGTCTGTCCGAATCGCGACGCCCCGCGGACGCTTTTCCGCGAAGTGAAGAGCTCCCAACAGGGAAAGATCCCTCGAGAAGTGGTGACAGGTCGTTGAGTGTGAGGTCGTCGAACGATGGAATGATAACACGAACATCCTCCTGGATGAGGAAGGAATCGTCCACTTGGTCCTCGGGCTCGTCGTAGCCTGCATCCTCATCGTCGTCAGTTTGATTACAGCGAGGCGGATAAAACAGCTGGTGTTGAGAGGCATGTGTGTTATCCTGGCAGGTTACCAGGTTCCCTATAACAGGCTTCGCAGCTTCACCACTACCCGCGCGTTCTCGATCACTACACTCGGCTGCCTTCGCATATAATCCGGAATAATTAGCAACTTTCTGAGAAAAATTACATTCTTTGGGTGTCTTTTTCTGCAACACATTAGACTCGCGAACACTGTCATTATATAAGTCACATATTTTTGCGTCTCTTTTCGTATAGTGTTTTGTTTCAAACGATCGGTAGTCAAGATATATATCCTCTTCTGAACCATTACCATTGTTTGAACACAAGTAATGATTATCTTCAGTTAGTTTAGCACTCGGAGGGTTATTATTGTTCACTCGATTCGTGTTCCGGAAGGTGCCCGTCTTCAGTCGGTCTTGTGCCTCCAACCTCCCTTCCAACGACTCAAAGTTGGACGCATTGACACACGTCGAGGTCTGGAGCTGGCGTTGCCCGCCAGAGAGCTCCACCTGAGCCGTTCTCCTGCCCCCACTTGCGTCGCTGAGGTCGAACGTCGGGCGTATTTGGTTGTGGTTTATGTCCTCGGGGAGTTTGTTTACATTCTCGTTGATGACGAAGCACGGTTTTCCAAATATGGGCTGCGCAGGGTTGGTTATTTCCAAATCCTTTGGTACACTGGGACTGTTTGGTACATCTACCCACACCATGCTGGCGGTACACTCACCTACCACCCAGGGTACACTCACCTACCACCCAGGGTACACTCACCTACCACCCAGGGTACACTCACCTATCACCCAGAGTTCATGGGTTCTCCCTTGATGGCATGGCACAATTTTAACACAATAAATAGTTGTGTTAATAACTGTTGAAATTTCAAGTTAACGAAATTCAGAATTAATGATGTAGCATTACCTAATATATTTTAGGCTCACATTATTAAACAAATGCACGTGGTCATTGTTTAACCTATAAGAGGTATATTATATGTATATATACAATATATATATATATATATATATATATATATATATATATTATATTGCTTGTCAAGATGTCTCTGGTGATGATCTGATTGTGTATGGAGATTTAATTAACAGTTTACTACAAAAACAAGAAGATCGCAAACTTGCCCATGAAAAACTCTCCACACATCAAGCAAAACGCTTTAAGAGAGAGAGACTAACGTCGTCTATGCCTTCACAAGCCTTCTTGGGGATTGTCAGCCCCAACGATCTCAGTATATAGGCAAGACAACAATGTCTCTCTCTAGGCGCTTAAAAATGCACAAACAACAGGGCTCCATCAAGGAACATGTAATCTCCACCCACACAACCAGACCATCACCAGAGACATCCTGACAAGCAACACTGAAATAATCGACAGATATATATATACAACGACCGCAGGGGACTGGACATTAGCGAGGTACTACATATTAAGAAGTCCAGACCAGCAATCAACAACCAGCTAATACATAATTACATTTTACCCACTTCAAGACCCAGAGCCAACGCCGACACAGCTTCCAATGACCCCTACTAATACCCACCTGATCCATTTATTCATTGACATATTTAATACTTCCCTTATTATGACATTCAACCACCACTTCGCCCAAAGAGTATATTTTCCATTGTTTTAAACACAGTAAAATTGTCTTTGAAAATGTAAGGAGTACCTTACGAAACGCATCCCCAGGATTCACATTAGAATAAAGTGTAAAAATGAAATTTGGAGAGTTAATTTGTCAACTTTCCTCGACAGTAAAGATAAACGTAAGAAATATTGAGAAGATACGTGTTAGAATCATTAATCTTACCCTTTCGGTCATATTCAACATCATATGTTGGTATATTATATATATATATATATATATATATAGTATATATATATATATATATATATATATATATATATATATATATATATATATATATATATATTATTATATATATATATCTTTCCACATGCCGTTCACTCCTCCAACACTCCCTCCTCATGCTTCTACAATACCTCTGTACTTCATTCCTCATTAATTATGTTTTTTCCAGCTCATTTATCAGAACCATTCAGTTTCCTTCCTTACGGTGGCTCTCTTCTCACTCTCTCACCCCCTCTCCCTCTCCCTCTCCCTCCTCTATTTCTCTCTCCTCGCAAGCTCCATCTATGCTTCTCTACTCTCTCACCTGCTGTCTTTCTGCACAAAAGCTCACTCTTGTACCTCTCTCTTCTCACTCGCTCTCTCCTCTCTTGTCATAAGCTTTCTTCTTCCGCTCTTTCTCTCTTCTCACGAGCTTTCTTTTTACTTTCCTACTATTTGACTTTGGCATCTCTCTTCTAATCATTTTCATGCTACATATATCCTTTCTTATCTCTTCCTACTCTCTTTTTTTCCTCCCTCCTCATAATTTCCTATCGCTTCCTCCACACCCTCCCTCCTTCTCTCCACCCTCCTACTCCTGGTCTTCCCCTTCCCTCCCCCCCCGCCCCCCGCCCTCCCACCCTCCCTTTCTCCCTCACTGCACCGCAGTTTTTGAATGGCTGACTACATCACCATTTCCAATATGGCGGCTCGGGCGCCCCGTTTCAATAGTACCATCACCAGCCGCCGGGAACGACGTTCTCAGCGGAGGATCACAGCTTTACTGTGCTATATTCACCAATGTTGCGGGGCGCTTCCGAAGGGAGGTGGAGGGGGTGGCGGTGGGGGGAAAGGGAGTAGTGGCAGGTGAGGGAGGGGGGGGACGGCAAGGAGGCTGGGATAGGGAGGAGGGGTGTGGGTGATTTGGAGAAGGGGCTCGAAGGAGGAGGAGGAGGGATGGGGAAGAGAAGGAGGAGGAGGGATGGGGAAGAGAAGGAGGAGGAGGGATGGGGAAGAGAAGGAGGAGGAGGGATGGGGAAGGGAAATAGTGGTTGGGTGCTAGGAGAGGGGAGGGGGCATCGACTGCTGTGTTAAGGCTTTGTGGGTAAAAAATATTAATTTTCTTCATAGGACAGCTTAACTAAGTAACTGAAGGAACAGTAGACTTGATCACACCAACAACAACTATAGTGCCAATATTACGTTTATTACCAATACTACTATTAACACTACTACTTCATATTATTATTGCTGTTACTACTGCTGTTATTGATAATAGTACAATTAATATACGACAAGGGCGGCCATTTCGGGGATCGAAGACTGGGTGGAAGTCCTGGTGACAATAGGGAAAGAGATGTGAAAAAAAGCGAGGGAGATAAGTGGGCCACCCGGCAGTAGAACGGACGATAAACGTTGAACGACTCTTATAACTTCCTCTGCCACCATGGGTCCATGGCGTATGATACGAGAGGGAGAGAGGGAGAGAGATCAGACCAACCCAGCAACGAGGGTCAGGGGCCACATACCCAGGAGAGCAGGGAAGGTCAGGGGCCACATGCCCAGGAGAGCAAGGAAGGTCAGGGGCCACATACCCAAGAGAGCAAGGAAGGTCAGGGGCCACATGCCCAGGAGAGCAAGGAAGGTCAGGGGCCACATACCCAGGGGAGCAGGGAAGGTCAGGGGTCACATACCCAGGGGAGCAGGGAAGGTCAGGGGTCACATACCCAGGAGAGCAGGGAAGATCAGGGGCCACATACCCAGCAGCAGGATCAGGTGCTACATATATGTCCGACACTCCTTCACACCGCATGAGGGAGTGTGGGACACGGGAGTACAGGGTGAGGGCAGGTCACAGAAGGCAGCTGTGGCTGGGCACAGGTGACATCAGGATGATAAGTAATTTATAGGTATGAGGGGAGGGGGAGGTGGGTACGAGTGTTAGGTGGGGGAAGGGTGTTATGGGAGGAGGCAGAGTTCGGTAAGTCAAATATGGCTGGCTGGCACCGTAGACTTTATCACATGGCTTGTGTGGCAGATAGTCAGCACGGATACGTATCTCAGTCACATATTACTCCACAACGGAAATCAAAATATGCCTAGAACGAATCTTATTAATTTTTCATTTATAGGCCACATCTAAAATGTAAATACAGTATTTTTAAGGATAGTTGTTCTTACTGTAATCCGAGAATAATTATTAACTTATCCCTATCTTCCCCACTTGGTCCAAAACCCCAAATTTTTGGCCGACCGGGATGGTTAAAGAATTTTTTTGGGTATTATAATCCGCACCATCCTCCAACCAATGTCCTCGCCATACCTAGTACCTCAGTTCCTCTAACAACTATCCCCGTGATAGTCAACACCTCAGCATATGAGACCAATTCACCCATAATACTCATAGTTCCTCAGCGGTGGCCATTCTCCGTACAGTGGGCTGAGGCGGAATCAATGGAAGATAAATATTTGATAACGGAGGGAATTCAGAGCTCCTCCTAGGGCATGGAGCCGAACATTCTGACAAGAACTCGGCGAAAACCAATATTTACCACCAGCTGTCATGTCGGATCCCAGGGACACTGGTATTGTACCTTAGCAAGGGCCAACCGGCCGCAGCTGTCATGTTGTCCCGCACAGACTCATGTCTTAGACCTAAGCAAGAGCCTAAAGACCTTCGAGGATTCTCCAGTCAAACAATTCTGAACCTTTGGCATTCATATTTTTTGCTCAGTTTCTGTAATTTGCTTCATCCATCATAACTGTATCCTTAATCTTTGTTCACTGTTTCCTCTCTTTGATCCTAGTGTTGTTCCTACACCTCACCTTCTGACTTACTGTTCTAAAATAATGTAATTAGTTCCTCGGACAGCGAACAACTTTTGGGTAAATTTTAAGGCAAATGGTTCAGTTTGCAACCGAAGGGGAACAGCTTCCCTTATAACCCCATTACAGCTTCCCCCTTACATTATTACACCCGGTAGTGTGTACACTCCCCACCAAGGACCAACAACCCACTGCCACCCACGTCTCCTATTTGTAACAACACCCCCTATCTAGAAGACGCATCTCAAGGACTCCCTCCTTCTCATCCCAGTGGTGTCTGCAACCCCCACCTACGAGACACAGCTCACAGGCCTCCCTCGCCCCCATTGGTCGCTATACCCCCCCTTACCTGGGAGACATACTATACTGCCAACTGTCTCCGTGGTGTCTGTGCATTATGATTCTGAATCACAATATGGCGGACCAACGTTTGGTAATCACCACTACCACCACCCAACGGAAGCAACTGACAACAATAACATCTATCAAGAACAACCATCACCACCATCAACAACATCTACCATCATCAACAACCATCACCACCATCAATAACCATCACCACCATCAACAACCATCACCACCATCAACAACCATCACCACCATCAATATCCATCACCACCATCAACAACATCTACCATCATCAACAACTATCACCACCATCAATAACCATCACCACCATCAACAACCATCACCACCATCAACAACCATCACCACCATCAACAACCATCACCACCATCAACAACCATCACCACCATCAACAACCATCACCACCATCAACAACCATCACCACCATCAACAACCATCACCATCATCAACAACCATCACCACCATCAACAACATCTACCATTACCACCATCATCACCACCAGCAACAACCATCACCACCACCATCAACAACCATCACCACCATCAACAACCATCACCACCATCAACAACATCTACCATTACCACCATCATCACCACCATCAACAACCATCACCACCACCATCAACAACCATCACCACCATCAACAACCATCACCACCACCATCAACAACCATCACCACCATCAACAACCATCACCACCACCATCAACAACCATCACCACCACTACCACAACCAACACACACACACTAGTAATATCCTGGCCGACCACCTGCCAGACGTACGATGACCTCCGCATGCGCACTTG